CTCCTCCCTCATCCACCTCCTCCACCCTTCCTCCACCTCCCACTCATCCTCCTCCCTCTGCCCCCCCCTCGTTTTCATCGTCGTTGTTCTCAGGGTCGGTGGCACCGGCCGTAAGGCCTTCGCAATAAGGGTTGTCAAAGAATGATAAAGATGAGGTTGATTGGTCTTTTCTCCTTCTCCTCCTCCCTCACTCCTCCTCCTTCTCCGTTAGAAGAGATAGGGGTAGGAGCAGGAGTCGTAGAAAGATGTTGGAGATGATGAGGGTGATGTGCAGAGAAATAGGGGACGAACTCTGAACCCCACCCATAGTCCTTCAACTCCTCCTCCTCCTCCTCCTCCTCTTCCTCCTCCTCCTTCTCCTCCTCCTCCTCCTGCTCCTCCTCTGATAACACCCCCCGGCCGTCTTCCATATTGAAGACACAAGAGTATAATCATGATGACGCGGGGCAGTAGAGACAGTTGGAGGAAGAGAGATACTTGGAACAAGATGCTGATGAGACGCAAGACCAATAACTACCGGTCAATGTCATTCTCCGCTCCCCCCTCCTCCTCCCCCTCCTATCCATGTTCGCGTGCTCTTTCCTCATCGCGCTCCTCCCCCCGCGCGGCGGCCAACTCGCCGGCAGGCGGCGGGCAGCAAGCCGCCCCGGCTCGGCGCGCACCGCCGCTGCACCCGCCGGCCGACGCGACGGCGGCCAGCGTCTCTGGCCAGGCAGCGGGCGGGGGCGCCGCCCGCTCGCTGCCTGGCCACCTCGGCCACGCGCCCCGGGCTGGCGCGGACCCGCGCCCGAAGCTGCCGCGGGCCCGTGCGCTGGGCGGCGGCGGGCGGGCGCGGGCGGGCAGGCCCGAGCAGCGCCGCTCCGCCCACCTCGCGGTCGCCGCGGCGCTCTCCGGGGCAGCGGGGTCGGGAGGCCCCGGCCGGCGGAACCCCTCCCCCCCGGGGGGTGGCCGATGTTTGGTGGCCTGTGCGCCAGGCAGCGGTCGTCCTCGGCGGGCTGGCGCAACGCGTTGATGGACATATCGCTGGCCCCCAGGCAGACTTCGCGCACGGACGGTCTCCTCCTCTTCCTCCCCCTCCCCCTCCTCCTCCTCCTCCTCCTCCTCCTCCTCCTCTTCCGCCTCCTGCTCCTCCTCCTCCCTCGCCAATCTCTGTCTGTCTGTCTGTCTGTCTGTCTGTCTGTCTGTCTGTCTGTCTGCCCGTCTCTGTTTATGTGACTGTCTGCCTGTCTGTCTCTGTCTATCTGTCTGTACGTTTGATGCCTGTCTGTCTGCCTGTCTGTCCGTCTGTCTGTGTCGGAGCGGCCCTGCCGCGCTTTGGCTCACGCGGCAGCGCCCCTGGCAGCGCCGCCATCGGGCCTCGCGGCCGCCGGAGCGGCCCCGGCGGCCGCCAGCGGTCCCAGCGCACCACGACTGCGACCTGCGCAAAGCGCAGCGAGGGCACTGCCCTTGGGGCCGAAACACACACGAAGCATGACGAGGGCTCGCTGGGCCAATACTGAATATTACCGAATCGCCCTGAATCCTGCCCCATTTTCCAGCGTAAAAAAGCTCCATCAAAAAACAGCCCGCATCTTACACGCAGTTGGCTTCAGCCAGTTGCGCCGCTGATTCGTGTGCGATATGCGCAAGCCAAAACTTACAGTGACATTCCAAACGGCATCCTGCCGTCTTCATGTAGGTCTGATTTGTCGTATGCGGGATACAACAATTTAATGGTCCGACAGGCTTCGCATGAACACCTCTGTCACCCCCTCACGATAAGATACTCGCACCACGTGCTGAAACCATCCGATTTCTGGCGCCATGGTTGTTGAGTACGGTCGTCGGCGCTCAGACTGTTCATACGGTTTGGTGCCACGTGCGACGGCCAGAACAACCATCCCATCCCAGATTCCACTTTGCATTCGTCACAAGTTGCGTCTGGTGGAATTAGATGATGATGTTGCGGGTCTGCTTCGCTGCTGTTTTTGTTATGTGTGCTACCCGCGCATGCCGCGCGCAGGCGGTCTGACGGCTTTGGTTCTCTACACTTTTCCGAAACAGTATCCAAGGGAAAATGCGCCATCTGGCGTTGTGTGCGCCCCACTCGGTTATGTAAGAGTGAGGGGGCCGAACGGTCCTTATTGTCCTAGGGTGCGTGGCTCAACTGGGGTTCCTCGGTGCGTATTGTTGATTTTTGTTGTTTTGCTGTGTTCTTATCGTCTTCCCACTCGCGACCCTGCCTGCGACCCGCCCGCGACCCGCCCGTGACCCACCCCGCGACCCACCCGCGACCCACCCGCGACCCACCTTGCGACCCATCCCGCGACCCACCCCGCGACCCACCCGCGAACCAGCCGCACCCCAACCGAGACCCAACCGCGACCCAACCGCGACCCAGCCGCGACCCAACCGCAACCCAACCGCGTCCCAGCCGCAACCCAACCGCGACCCACCCCGCGACCAACCCGCGACCCGCCCGCGATCCACCTTACGCCGGCCTCCTCAGTCTGATCGGCAACTGCGGAATGCTACATCTGTTTCCCATCCCGCAATCTCATCAAACACGTGTGTGTGATGACGTTGTTGAACAAGCGTATGTTCCCATTCAGCGAGCACCGTGTTCAAGTCGGTGCTTGCAACATGGGTCCGAAGAGGCGCCACGCACGTGCAATCATGTTTTTGGCATGAACACCTTTGTTCGGCTCAGGGAAGATAATTTACAGCCCAGATATTTGGTCTGCTCGCTCAGGTCGAGCACATCAATTGCCTTCCCATTAGATACAAATGATGGAAACTGGGTTCGCTGGCAGTTCCACTGCGTGGTGTGGAAGATCGTTGTTTTGTCCGCAGAACACTCCAAACATACAATGTCAACCTCGATGCTGATATTCGAAACAATCACGGGAACTTAACGTAACAACGGAGCAGCGGAAACTATAACACATATTAAATGCACGTTCGGCAACAATGCATTGCCCGCCACGTGCATCCCAATCTCAATGTTTGAGTTGGCCCATGTTGTGCACATGCTCCGGATGACGTTTTCCTACACGCTTTGAACAACAAGCAATTGACATAATCTCATTGTTGCGTACCGCGTCGCATAGCAACAGGTGGAATCATCAGTTCAGTGCGAGCTGTCGCTGCCCGGTTATGTCTTTCAGGAGAGCGATGTCGCAAAGGTCGAAGCATTGGTCGGCAAATGCATCCCGTATCCCTTGTGCGTCGACAGTCCACATGCTTTATGGAAGCCAGCCGCGGCTATCCACAACGGCGGTTGCCCATCGCCCACCGTCGCGAGAGTGATAGATGATCCTGGTCCGCTCCTCATCGAGGACCTACGCAGCGCAGGAGGGGACTACGATGCAAGAAGAAGCAACAAGAAGACAAGGAGACAAGGAGACAAGGAAGAGGGAGGAGGAGGAGGAGGAGGAGGAGGAGGAGGAGGAGGAGCTGGAGGAGGAGGAGGAGGAGGAGGAGGAGGAGGAGGAGGAGGAGGAGGAGGCGATCAAGAAGACCAGGCGAAGAGAAGCATGTAGTTTGCATGCCTTGCGCCCCCTGGAGGGCCCTTATCGCGTCGGCTGGGCTATCATGACAATTCAAAACGCGCTGCGACAAGGAAGCTACTTCGAGGACGCACTGTATCCGTCCATGTGGTCCTTTCGGCCTCTTCACGAAATCTCTGCCCATGGCGGTGGGGGGAGGAGAGGCATGGGACGCCAAGGACAACATCGACCCTGGCTTCGCCCACATGTTTTGGTTGTGTGACCTCCATCCCTTCCGGGGACCGATGACATCGTTTCCGATCGTGGCCCCCTAAGGCCCTACCCCTCCTCGTAGACGTCCCTTCATCAAAGGTTGTTTTGCTGTGGCCCCAGGGGCAAGTAAACAACGCCCTCCATACCCATCACGGGGAACAAAACTCCGCCCTGCTTATTAAAGACGATGGAGGCGAGCATCGAGAAACGACTAGGATTGAGTGGCGCTGACACGTGCTCTGCAGCATCAGTGGATTCATCCCAGTGCGAAAAATGAGGTCAAATACTTATCAAGAACTGCTAACCTGAGCGCAGCCATATGGAACGGTTGCCACGAGGCGGCACCAGATGTGGCAGTGCTGCAGCTGGACTGGGAAGCCTTCCTTCGAGAGGATGGAGGCCGGGGCCTGAATATCCCTCCTCCTCCCGCAACGCCCTCCGCGAACCGCATCTGCTGAACTATGAAGGGGACCTGAGACACACGAATAAATACACACAAATAAAATGATTCCCCATATTATCCCATATTTTCTAGGTTTCTGTCTCCCCCCCCACTTCCCATATTTTCCCATATTTTCTGGGAATCGACGATTAATCGTGTCTGTGTGTTTTTTCCCCTCTTGAAACTAGACGAACTCGCAAAAGGACTGCTCGCAAAGGGCCCGGACCCGCCGGGGAAGGCCCACGAGAAATTGCATCGAAGCAGACATCTGTTTCTCGCACGTTTTCGAGTACTCCAGATTTCGTAATAAAAGGGAGGGGGTCTGGACCCTCCAAGACAAGCCATTTCAGACCCCCCCTCGTGGGAGAACCCTCCAAAACATCGTCCCCAGACCACCCCAGGCCCTCCAAGATAGCTTGGAAAAGACCCCCCCCGAAATGAGACCCCCCTCCCTTTCTTACGAAATCTGGAATAGGCACTTTGCGAGTCATGGGACGGACGCGCTCGGTAACGACCGGTATCCCGAGACTGGAGCGCCGACGACAAGCTACCACAGCGACCGAAAACCTCAAACATGCAGATCATCCCGAGCGCACCCTTCCCTGAGCCTATCCCCGCCTACGGTTAAGTCGGGCCTGTCCTCCTACAGGGGGATGTTTGACAAAACATGTATAAAAAACAATGATACCCCCAAATGGTCAAACAATACTCAAAAAATAGTCTCCAGACTATTTTTGTTCATGTTTCGACTTCAACCTACGGTCGCCCCTGCGTTTATTGCCCCACCCCCTCGCGGAGCATCCCCCATGCCGCCGGGCGGTCCCATCATCGAGCTGCAGCTGGTGTCGCCGCGGTCCGAGTCGCACTTGGTCATCGGCATGAACCCCCCCGCGTAGCAGGAGGACTGCTTGCAGCACGAGGCCTCGCCGCACGGGAGGGGCCAGAGGGGGGGGGACACCGCTCACTGCCCGCGTGGGCCACGGAGAGGGCAACTTCTTGGGGGAGGGGGGACGGCTCGTGGACGGCCGACGCCGGGCTTCGGCATCGCCGGCAGATCGGCGACAGGCCCCCGACACCGAACCCGAACGGTCCCGGGAGGGACATCCTCGGCATCGCTCGGACGTCCATTCCCCGTGTTTTTGTTCGGTTTCGTGCGTGGTTTTTTCGGCAAATGGCCGAGGATACTCCTCGATGGTCCTCGCCGGGGAAAAAAACGCTCACGTCCGAGCGATGCCAAGCCCCCTGAGCCCCCCCCCGCCGTCTGACGTTGCCACCGAGCTGCCAGAAGGAGCGCCGACTGGGACCAAGAGCAGGACGGGGGGGCAGTTCTGGCCACGGCGAGCCTCGGCCACGAACGGGTCCCCCGTCCCTCGCCCAAGGGGCAGCCCGAAACACAGGGCCCCTCCTGACCCCAGACCATCCTTCTTCCGGCGTCTTGACTGCAGGCATTGGGCCCTCGAGACTGCGCGCGGACTTCCTCGGACCAGCGCTGGGCCCCCTCCCCCGGCGCGCGAAACGAGCCGGCGGCGGCGCTGGATCCGCCGCCGCCGCCGGAGGGGGGGGGGGTCTGGCGCCGATCCGAGCGAAGTCCGCGCAGACCTCCGAGACAGCATGCTCGTGCAGCCTTCTCTCCTTCTTCGCAGGGAGATTGAAGGGGGAGGGAGGGTGGGGCAACGAGGGCGAGAGGGGGGGGTAGATGGAGTCACTGCAAGAAAGACAGCGACCGCGAACCGATATCACCCGATCCTGCAACACGCGTGCCCTGAGCTCGCGGAGCAACGAGACGACAGGGACGAGGGGAGGAAGTAGATGTTGGCGGCGTGCACAAGGGGGTACGGGAAGGAGGCTGCTTCTCAGAAGGCGCCGGCCCTACATCTGCAGACAAGGCCCGCGCCTTCAAAAAAGCAAGAGTGTTTCTAAGAAACCTTCACCCCTCCCCCTACCCCCCTCAGATGGAGGGAGGGAGGCAGACGAGGAGGGAGGGGAGGAGGGAGGGAGGGAGGGAGGGGAGGAGGAAGGGAGGGGAGGAGGGGAGGAGGAAGAAACGGGAGGGAGGGGAGGAGGGGGAGGGGAGGGAGGGAGGGGAGGGAGGAGGGGTGGGGGGAAGTAGATGGAGGGAGGGAGGGATGGGATGGGATGGGATGGGGGGGCCGGCAGGTTGGGAGGGCCCGCGCCTTGCTCTGGGCGCCAGTGGGCTGGACGCGGGCGGGCGGTCCCCGCGGAGGAGGGCGGGCGGCGTGCCCGGAGGAGGGAGCGACAGCCCAGGGACACACACGCACACACACACGCACACACGCACACACACACGCACACACACACACGCACACACACACAAACACAAACACAAACACAAACACAACACACAAACACATACACGTACACATACACACACACACACGCACACACACACACACACACACGCACGCACACACGCCCGCCCGCACGCACGCACGCACGCACGCACGCACGCGCACGCACACGCGCACGCACACGCGCACGCGCACGCGCACGCGCACGCGCACGCACACGCACACGCACACGCACACGCACACGCACGAGCACACGCACAGAGAATTCACACACACAAATCCCAAGACTCCCTTTGTCTGTCCACGTGTCCTGGATCTTCGCCTTCCCCCCCCCCCCACACGTCCCATCTTGTTTCCCATAGCTTCCCGGGGATCGGCGATGATTTGTGTCTGTGGTTTTTCCATCCTGAGCTGAACTGGATCGGAATCGGAATCGCAAGCCATCGAAATCGAATCGAATGGGAAAATCGAAGTGGGCCCTGCGAAAGAGGCCTGTGACAACAGGCCAGCCACAACTTGGGGCTGTGCTCCTTGCCCGCCCTGGGGGAGCACAGCGTGTCCGCGGTCTCTCGAGGGACCCAGAGGGGCAAGGACCATCGGCCACGACTGGTTCGTGGAAGCATAAGACGAGGCCAGGGCGAAGGTACCACCTGAGAGACGGCGACTCTGGAAGGTGCCTCGGGCGCCGCGGCTTTCTCAGAGCGTTCCGGACGTTCCGGAACGCTTTGGAACCGATTGATCCTTGTCCTAGCCCCGCCCGAAGAAACTTCTTCTCCTGAGGAGCCCGCTGCCAGCCTTCGAAGCCCGCGCCCTAAGCCAGGGCCACTCCTGCAAGCACCTCGGCATTTGAGGAGGAACAGGAAAACTCCACGGGAAACGCATCGGCTGCACGCATAAGTAGCGCTGCCTCTGGTGTGCAACTTTCGAAGACCGCGGGAAGGCCGAATCGGAACGCGAAGCAGCTGCTATCGCATCGCATTCCGCCATCTATGATGGGCCGATCCTCCCTCCACCACCACCACCATAGGTAGGAGAGGGAGGAGGAGCAGAAGGAGAAGGAGGAGGACCTCCCCATCCTCCCTTCTCCCCCGTCCTATCGATGGTACTGGTGGTGGAAAATTGGCCCATCAATCTGCAGGAGGCCTGAGTGCGCCCGCGCCAAAGGCCATTCAGGCGAGCGGCCACTCACAACACCAACCACAACTGGGGGAGCCGTGTTACTTGCCCACATGGGGCCCGGCGCAGATCTGAAAACCGCGCGGATCTCCGAACGTTTCTGCCTGTACTGCTTGTTCCCCATATCCTAAGATGGGGTTCTTGTTATTCCCCATATCCTAAGATGGGGTTCTTGTTATTTCTCGGACGCCGCCGACTTCTCCTCCTTCTTCTCCTTCTCCTCCCCTCTCCTCCTCATATCCAGACTTACTCATACACAGACTGACTCACACTCAGACCTACTCATACTCAGACCTACTCACACACACAAAATTACTCATACTCAGACCTACTCATACTCAGACCTACTCCTGCTCAGACTTACTTATGCTGAGACTCACGCACGCCCCGTTCGCGGCCGTTTTGTGGTAATGCCTCAAGCGGTTTGCCTGTTTTCTGTCCCAACATCCTTTGCTTTCGGAGCAGATTTGGAAGATGTCTCGAGCGAGGCGCTCATTTTCACGTCATTAAGGGGAGCTGCCGAGGGGTGTTGCACGGTCCCGTTCGCGGCCGTTTTGTGGGGATATCTCAAGCGGTTTGCCTGTGTTCTGTCCCAGCATCATTCGCTTTCGGAGCAGATTTGGAGGATGTCTTGAGCGACGCGCTCATTTTCACGTCTCTAAGAGGAGCCGCCGAGGGGTGTTGCACGGCCCCGTTCGCGGCCGTTTTGTAGGGATGTCTCAAGCGGTTTGCATGTGTTCTGTCCCAACATCCTTTTTGCTTTCGGAGCAGATTTGGAGGATGCCTCGAGCGAGGCGCTCATTTTCACGTCCTTAAAGGGAACCGCCGAGGGGTGTTGCACGGTCCCGTTCGCGGCCGTTTTGTGGGGATGTCTCAAGCGGTTTGCCTGTGTTCTGTCCCAACATCCTTTTTGCTTTCGGAGCAGATTTGGAGGATGCCTCGAGCGAGGCGCTCATTTTCACGTCCTTAAGGGGAACCGCCGAGGGGTGTTGCACGGTCCCGTTCGCGGCCGTTTTGTGGGGATGTCTCAAGCGGTTTGCCTGTTTTCTGTCCCAACATCCTTCGCTTTCGGAGCAGATGTTGAGGATGTCTCGAGCGAGGCGGTCATTTTCACCCCGCAGGTGGGCCAGATTTTGAGGATGTCTCGATCGGTGGCCAGACTCGTGGGCACAGATTCTTCAGGATGCCACTGGAGGCTCCAACAGGCTCCAGGAGGCCCCAGGAGCCCACATGAGGTCCCAGGAGGCATCAGGAGGCCACAGAAAGACTCAAGAGCCCACAGAATGTCCCAAGAGGCTCTAGGAGGCCCCAGGAAGCTCCGGGAGGCCTCAGGAAGCCACAGGAGGCCCCAGGAGGCCAGAGGAAGCGCCAGGAGGCCTCGGAAGGCAACAGGAGGCCCCGAGAGGCCCCAGGAGCAGGAGGCCTCAGAAGGCAACAGGAGTGGCTCCAATCCCATGTGTTTGACGTATGCTCTTATAGATTGGGCCTCACCTGGAGCACGAATCCTTGATGTCATACGTATGTTTCTATAGATTGTCCTTCTCCTGTGTACTCATGTCCCTGTAGGGCCTCTCCTGGGGCACGAGTCCTTGGTGTTTTACGTGTGTTCCTATAGATTGCCCTTCTCCTGTGGCTTTAATCCGCAATGTTCTATGTACGTCTGTTGCTATAGATTGGGCCTCTCCTGGGGCACGAAACCTCCCTAGGAGGTCCCAGGAGGCCCCAAGAGGGAGACCCCACGAAGCCCCAGTAGGTTTCAGGAGGCCCCAGGAGGCCCCAGGCTCATGCGCAGAGACGCGCTCGTACTAATTACTGAGGCTCATTCACACTCCAAGTCATTCGCAATTAGATTCATGTCCAGACCGTCACAACTGAAGCCCGTTTACATTCGAAAGCTCTTGCGCCTAGACATTCACGGCGGACAGGTCCATGCGAATAGATGCACACATGGGGAGCTCCACGCAATGAATACCGTTTGTTGTCTTGTTTTTTCCCTCTGGGTCGAATCAAAAAACCTCCACGGGAAACGCGGCCCAGAATCGAGGGACCGCCACGGGGAGCCGCGGCGCGGTGCTCGCCGCGGCAGGACCGCACGAGGACCCAGCGCCCGCAGATCCCGGGCGGCGGGGGGCGGGCGGGGCGGTCCGACGTGCAGGCGGCGCTGTCGTTTTTCGAGCACACGAGGGGGATCGTGACCTGCGGCCCCGCTGCGCCCCGACGGCGACGACGACGACGACGACGACGACGACGACGACGACGACGACGACGACGACGACGACCACGCCGACGACCACGACCACGACCACGACCACGACGACGACGACGACGACGACGGCTCAAACCTCCAGAGTCCACGAGATCCGCTGAAAGAGTGCTTCCATTTCTCCAATTCAACGCCCTGCGGCCGGCGGGCACCGCAGAGCCCCTGACCCACACCGAGGGGGGGGACAGGCCGCTCCCGGCCGCCCCTGCTGGCCGCACCATGCCCGCCCTGTAGTGCCGCCAGGCCAGGACGCAGTGCTGAGAGGGGGGGCGTGGGGCAGCTGGCCCCCCAGCTCGTGGCAGTGGTGCCTTTCTGCCCCTGGTGACCCCCTCCCCCACCAGAGCCCCGCGCTCTGCCCAAACGCCTGCGGGGCCCCCCCGGGCCCGCCAGGCTGCCTCGCGCTCGCCCGCCCTCCGGAGATCCGGGGCGCCGGCCCGCCCCACGTCGGGCGCGCTCGCCCGGCCTGGGGCCCGGGGGCCCCCACGAGGCGATCTGAGACGAGGAGCCGCGGCCTTCTCGGAGCGGTCGGGAACGCTCTGAGAGCGTTCCCGAAGTCTCTGGAGCTCACTTCTCCTCGCCCTTGCCCCGCCCAGCGATCTGTGGGAGGGGGCCCCGCCATGGGATGCAGGTCTTCTCCCTAGCAAGAAGCAAGTACAGTGCGGGCGCGGTCGCAGGAAGCCTGACCCTGAAAACCCGCGCGCGCCCAACCCCAGAGGGGGAAACGCAGCAGCTCCTTCAACGGCCGCGGGAAATCACCGCGCAGCGTGCGGAGCGAAGATCCCCAGGGTACCCGGACGAAAAGCACATGGTGTCATGATGCGCGTCCCCACTGCACAGGAAGAGCAATTGTCCTACTGCAAAGGGTCGAAAGCTCCAGGGGCCGCATATTCAAACACAACCACGACGCCAGAAATCCGGAGCAGGGATAGCAACGCGACCTCTTCACCTGCAGTGCGCCCTGGGGGGACCACGAGGCGGTGATGATTGTTGCGTACGCATTTCTGGACGCTACTTTGTCCGAAGCCTGTGGTTGGCATGGCTTTGCTTGGGCACTGCTTGGCACTGCTTTACACTGCTTTTCTTGGCCCCACGCTGCTTGGCTCTGCTTTGCATCGCTCTGCTCCGTATCGCTGTCCAGGCGCAGGCGCTCGGGTGAGGCCACGTCGACGTTGTGTCGGGGGCGTTCCCGCCGCGACGCCCGCCGCTCCCTGGCGGCGCGCACAAGACGGTATGGGGGAGGGCGGAAGACTTCCTAGCAAGAGGCTGCAAGGCGCCGGGCCCTGCATCTGCAGACAAGGCCCGCCACCTCTAAGAAGAAGCAGGGGTGCTTCTGAGGAGCTCCCCCCCTCCCCCCTGCCGCCCCCCCTGCGCGTGGCTGAATTACCTCGCCCGTGCTCTCCCGCTCGGCCATGGAAGGTCCCCTCGCCGCGCGGTGCCAAGCTGTCGCTCTCTGGTTCTCCCGCGCTGCCGCGGGGGCTGGGATCTCGGCACGGTTGCAGCGCGGCTCGTCCTCAAGGCTCCTCTCGCGTGCCCGCGCTTGCAGACTAGATTCCCCACAAGTGCTGCCTGTGTCGATGCATGTGGCGTCGAGGCCCAAACAACCATGGCCTCTCGCCCCTCACCGACCCCATTGCTCGTCCCCCCTTCCACCCTGCGCTAGGCGCTCGCGCGAAGCGGCGGGAGTCAAGGGCCTCGGGCTCCGCGGGCAGAACAGGGCAGAAGAGGAGGAAGAGGAGAGGACGAAGTGGCGGGGGCGGAGAAGGAGGAGGAGGAGCCTCATCGTCGCCTTCCAAATCTGGAGTAGGACATATCCCGAGATATCTATACATATATATATATATATATGTGTATACATATATATATATATGTATGCGTATGTATACGTGTATATATATATATATATATATATATATGTACATCTCTCTATATATAATGTCTTGATCCCGGGCTCGGCGTCACCGTCTGCGGGGGCGATTTCCGCAAAGGAACCCTGCTCCCGAGCCCCTGGCCGCAGACTGCACGCGCGAGCAAATCGCAACTGTGCGCAAGTACATCGCAGGAGCTTGCAGCGAGGCGGCAACCGCATTGAATTTCAAGACAATCGAACGGCACTGGGAACGAACAACTTCGAAACGACTTCGCAGCGAACTGCAACGACATCGCAACTCCACAACATCGCAACACATTACAACGCTCTGGCAACTGACACACACACACACACACAGCTGAACAACAATCCGGCATGTACGCTGCATTTTAGTCGCATGCTGTCGCCCTTTAGTCTTTGTTCCGTCCTTGCAACGTTGTTGCCCTTACTTGCCGACGCTCGGTCCCTAGCCTTCGGGCCGTGGTTCCTCTCTGGCCCGGCGGGGGTCGGCGGCAGGACAGTGCAGATCCTGTGGAAGGCGGCGGAAGCGCCGCAGATGCGCCAAGCACCGCCTCGGACGCCTCGCGATCGCCGGTGCGATTGTGCAGTGCGACGCACATCGGCGTCAGACCCACTGCAATTGCACAACGCCCTGCAGTCACGCATGATGAGGGTAAGCAACATCCCGAACTTGCCCTTTGCACCCTTGTCCTCTTGGGCCCGGCCTGGCCGCCTGCAGCCCTGCACCCGCTCCCTCGGGCGCTGGCCCTCGTGCGACACTGGACAGAGGCCATGCCGCGCTACCCTCGGCGTGGCACGCCAATGCCGCCCCCGTGGGCCCTGCGACTCTCGGCGCCGCCCGAGCGTCCATGCCCCGTGCACGTGTCGATGTCGCGCGCGCGCGCGCATGTTTCGGCAGGATGATCCTGGATGTGTCCCGAGACTCGCCATCGCTCGGACGTCCATTCCCTATGTTTTTTTTGTCGGTTTCGTGCGTGGTTTTTTTCGGCAATTGGTCAAGGATGCTCCTCAATGGTCCTCGCCGAGGCAAAAACGCACACGTCCGAGCGATGCCAGGGAGAGCCCTCGCCGAAAAAAAATGCCCCCGCGCCCGCGCGATGCCGAAATTTCCACTTCGCCGCTCACCGCACCGGCCCGCCATGGAGCGAGGCCCTGCGCAACCAGGACCGGCGAGGGCCCCCAACTCAGGGCCCAACCCCTCCGCGAAGTCCCACCAGCGCACAGCGGCGCCAACCGTCTGTATCTTGATGGGCGTACCTGACCAACCACCGTCCGCACCCACCACCGGCCGAGCACCCAGCGACAATTCGGCCGTCCCCACCACCGGCCGAGGTCGGCGAAGGTGCAGGCTCATGAGCCACCAATCGAAGAAGATCCGACGCTGGGGGATCCAGTGGAAATCAACAACGACCCTGTCGACGCGCCTGGTGCTAATGCTACTTAAAATGACTAGATGTAGATGGCTGGTGACACGGATGCCGTGGAAACAGTGGATATCGCGCGTGGTTCCGATGATGCGGAACTCTTACGTCCTACATTTGCGAATCGGTCAAACGCAGTGTTTCAAACTTCGGGCCGATGATGATCCATGGCATTTCGCGTGATACTTGCCATGTATGATTGACATGTCGATGGGTTGTACAACTAGAGCTTCGCGTGTGGATGCGTTTCGCATGTTACTCCAACGGCAATGGTCTCACTGCATCGTTGTTTGTGGTTATGTCGTGCAACGCCCTGAATGCAACTATCCTGGTGGTCTGTAATTTCTGATCGGCTCCCCGGTGCTACCTGTTGTTGTGCGGGTTCCGTGTTAGCCAGGCCCTCAAGTGGGGTGCGAAGGGAACCGGTGGAACAAAAATGTAAAAACAGTCATGGCGCTTTGGGGGTAGTCTCCAAACAGCAGCGGCAATGGCCACGGCTAAGGGAAACTCTGCATCCCTGCGACGGCAAGAGGAGAGGGAGGAGGAGGAGGACAAGGACGAGAAGGGGGAGGAGGAAGAGGCGGCGGCGGCGGCGGGAGCTGGGGGGTCGATGCCTACAGTCCTCGGCGCTGGTGGCCCTTGCGTGGGGGGTTGGGCATGGCCCTCTCCTCTGGATGGGCCAGCCTGGCGACCCACCGCGCAAGCACTTTCTCGCGGGGTGGGTGGCCATATGGCGGTGAAGCACGGTGCCCCGGCAACGGGCTCGAGGGCGCCGCCGCAACTCCTTCCTGTAGCCCGCCGCGGGGAAGCCCGAACACCGTTCCCCATGCCGGCCAACGGAGGGCGCAGGGCAGCGCGATCAAACCGTGAAGCGCACGAAAGCAGCCAGGCCGCAGCGGGCGCGGGGCCTCCCGGGAGGCGGCGGACCTTTGCAGGACAATGGAGAGAGAGAGAGAGAGGGAGAGAGAGAAAGAGAGAGAGAGAGAGAGAGCAAGGGAATACCGCACCGCGGACTGCCGATGAAGTCGTACGTGCGGAAGCCCTCCACCCTGCCTCCCTTTTGGCGGCAGGGGAACGCCTGTCCTCTCTTTTCGGCGGACGCCGCGGATACGGCGCGCCGGCATTCGCGAGGACAGAACGGGCGCGCGAGGCCAAAATCCCCGGCGCGGTTTGCGGCGAGGACGCAACGGGCAGGGGGGGGAGAGGGGCGCAACGCAAAAATAGAGGGTTCCAGAGCAGTGATGGCAGCGGCCATCCCAATAACCTTTGACGCTCCAAATTCGCCCCCACTCCCGTCGTAGACTTAGTCGTCAACCTACTCGACGCCTAGCAAAGCAACGCAATTAGTTTGGTCGGGAACGGGCAAGATCGCACTCATCGCTTCCTTCCAGAGTGTTGATGGTCTCACGAATGATTTTGATCGCATTGGCTGTAAAGGTCACCTGCGTACTCAATAGTCGCAATACTTCCTGGCGCTCAACCAGGCTCCACTGGGACAGGGACTTCGAGGCGTGTCAGGTATGGCTCCAGGGAAACTCTGCGCCTCTGCAAGGCGTTGGCGGACTCTCTCAAGGGTTGCACTTGCGCGAGGAAGCGATTGCGCGCGCCCCTCATGCGCTCGTCACTCGCGTGGAGAAGGCCGAAAGGGGGCGCGCACCGAACGTCGCACTGGGCGAGGCGAACTTGTCGAGACTCCCGAGGGCGCCGCGGCGTAGCCATCAGCATTGCAATATCGCGAGGCAACGGCGAGACAAAACTGGGCAGTAAAGAAGGAGAGACCCTTTGACGCTGAGGTGAGACCCCGCAAGATAGGACGTCGCCCCAGAGGAACAAACGACACGCCGATAAGCTGGCGTCGGAGCGCGGCTGCCGCATGTAAGCACTGCGGCGGCTCCGTCGGGCGCTCTCGTGGTCCTTGCCTGGGCGCCTGGGCGCCAGCACCTGGCGCGCCTCGTGGATCTCGGGGGCCCTGTGGTGGAGGTCCTGCTGGGTAGTCCCGTCTTCCCCTGCAACTCCGTCGGACTGCTGACGGCCCATGTGCGTTGGGGAAGGGGGGGGGGGGGGGGGCTGCAGTTCCTGACCCCACACCAGAGCCCGAGGGCCCCCCAGCAGGTGTCGCCGCGGTCTCGTCGCAAGCTGCCCCCTAGAGGGGGCCCTTGACTGACGTCCACAACGCCCCGCCGCCTAGCGCGACAGCGCGTTGCTAGCTCGTGGAACTCATTGAAAGTTGAGCGCGTCTTCCGCTGTTCTCAAAGCAGGAAGTCGTTCGGGATCGAGGCGAATAGGGTTCGCAAGCTTTGCCAACTCGCTCTCGGGTGGCCAACGTGCATGAGACAACGCGCGAGGAAGAAGCAACGCGCCGCTGGCTACCGCTGCGAGAACGCCATGGCCTGCCATGGCCTGCTCGCACACTAACTCCAGTCGGCCCAAGAAAGTGGCTTCGCCCGTCTGCCAAAACAGTTAGCGCCTGCGTCGGAGCGCCGTTTCGACTACCCTCTCCAGGTCTGTCCCGGGCCCTGCCCCCGCGCCCTTGATTGCGTTGCGCCCGCGCAGGCCGACCGACGTCACCTCCGTGTGCTTGGCGCCGAGAAGCCGCGGACCCGCGCATGCGCTGGCTCGCCGAACTCCTTCTTAGTTATGCATGGCGGCTCACAGCGCTGCGTCGGGCTTGATGCCGCGCTGGATCCTGCCCATCCTGCCCCCGCGTCGTCGTTTTCCCTCTCGCGGGTCTCTTTCACCTTGAAGCTCTGCAGGATGTCCCGAATCATGATCGGCCCGTACTTGTCCGCCGCGCTGTCAATGAACTCTCTCAGGGTGGCCTTGCCCCGCTGCTCCATCTCCCCCCCCCCCCATTTCCCCGCCAGTCGAGTCGTGGATCTTGCGGGCGACCTCGATCGCCGCGCGCAGGCGAGGCGGGCCGAGCCCGTGCTTCGCGCCGCGAAACCGGACCTCCGGCGCATACTGTTTGGCCGCTTGCAGCCCTGCCTGAAAAGCTTGGCCTGGGATGGAATCAATGGCAAGTCGACCGTCGCGCGCGTCGCCCCCCCCGTGCGGCGAGCGCTTCGCAGGGCAGGCTTAATCGCGACATTCACCCTGTCGTCGTCGTGCTCGCAGTTGCCGGCGTTGCGTTTGCCTCGCGGAGGTGGGCGCAATCCTCCTCCTGCTGCGCTGCTTGCGGCTGCGCCTGGCGACGGGGGGTCCTTGTGCGCGCTTCCCGGCTCGGCGCCCGGGCCATGCATGTTGGAATAAACCCTCCCTCCAAACTCCCTCTTGATAGGCCCCTACAACGGTTAATTTCCATGGAAGGAACTGCCTCGGTGGAAAACAACTGGTTGAAGAACCTGACGCATGCCGAAACATTGTTCTCGGGATCCCAACGCCACGGGTAAACCTGACTGTTGCGTCTTGACGATCCTGAACCGCACCAGGACGCCATTCATAGGACTTCGACACAGCGAACCAGCATAACTGTTGCACCCACATGTGCCTGAATCCCTTCAAAACTCAATTTATGGTACGGTGATGATGGGAAATCCGAGAAACTCTTGCGAATTGTGTAAACGAATGTGCGCGGCGCTAAATCGAGAAACAGATGTTGAAAACAAACCGCCCTCAACCCGCGAAACCCTTGCAAACATTTGAAAAAATGTGCACCACGCTACGGCGAGACCCACATGTTGAAAACCACCAGCCCTCATCCACAAAACTCTTGCAGTTCTGATAAACAAATGGAGGATGAGGAGAAGGACCAGGACAGGGGAGCAGGCGGATGAGGGGCCCTTCGACTGCATTGAATATGGCGAGCTGAGCCGCCAATTCTTCTTCGAGCTGTCTAACGTCTGCCCCCCCCCCGCCCCCCCCGGCGGCGCGTGCGGCGGACGCCCATCGACTTGCAGACGCTCGAACTCAGGCGCGGGCGGCTGCCCCCCCCAAGGAAGAACTACCAACTCCCCCTCCTGCCCCTCGCCCTCCTCCAACTTCTCGCCCTACTCCTCCTTCTAGTCCTCCCTGCTCCTCTTCCTCCGCCTCGCTCCTCCTCCCTTTCCTCACCGTCCTCCAACTCCCCGCCATCCTCCCCTCCCCTCCTCCTCCTCCTCCTCCTCCTCCTCCTCCTCCTGTACGCAGCCTCCTCCCCCGCCATCTCATTCATCCTACAGGTCTTCCAGTATTAGTATCCTTCCGCCTCCTCCTCATCCTCTTCTTCCTCATCCTCGTATTCCTCCTCCTCAGCAGGAGCATCAGCATCAGCATCAGGATCATCAACAGCATCATCACACTAATAATTACCACAGCAACCATGACCCTTAGCAGCATCATCATAATTATCTTAATACACATCACTTTAATCGTGCTGCTGCTGATGATGATGATAATCATCACCCTCACCATCAACAGCATCATCATCAACATCATAATCACCATCATCATCCCTCGACCTTCAACTCCCTCTTCCTTTCCTCCCTCTCTTCCGCCTCATTCCCCTCTCTCATGCGCCTCCTGCATCTCATCCGCATCCCACTCCTCCTCATCATCACATACTCCCCGTCGCACCCTCCTCCTACCGTCCTCCCCATCTCCCTCATCTTCTTGTCTGGAGGCCCCCAAGAGACACCATCCGGAAGCCATCAAGGGGCATCCGAGGAGGGGCGACAGAGGCGGACCCCTCTGCGCGCGTTGGAAAGCGCACGGCGGTGCCTTCACGTGTGGGTCGCGGGGAGGTCAGGCGACAAGAACGCACATGGAGGGCCGCAGTGGCCACCAGAAGCCAAGAAAAAACGACATGTCATAACACTTGTCCTCCAATCTTCCTGCTCCCCCACCTGCTCCAGCTCAGCCTTCTCGGGTTCTCTTCCTCCTCCTCATCCTCGATCTCCTCCTCGTCCTCTTCCTCTTCGTCGTCGACCTCCTCCTCCTCCTGATCCTCCTCCTCCACCTCCTTTCGGCAGCACCCCCACCCATCCTCCGCGCACGGGGAAGGAGGGTGGAGGAGCGAGGATGAGGATGAGGATGTGGAGGAGGAGAGAGGGGGAGGAGCCATACTCCTCTTGCGTTGGGCGAACTTGAGCATTTTGGCTGTAGCTTTGTATGCGGCAAAGGGAATCAAAAAAAGGGAAATGGGCCGACGCAAACCTGCGTTACCACATTAAGGCTGCTGCCACTATGGACGCAAGAGATGCGAAGGAAAACCGCCCTCCTTCTCCTCCTCCTTTTTTTTCTTTCCTTTTTCTCCTTTCCTCGCCTCCTCCTCCTCCTCCTCCTCCTCCTGCTCCCCCCGCCTCCTCCACCTCCTCCTGCGCCTCCGCCTCCGCCTCCGCCTCCGCCTCCGCCTCCGCCTCCGCCTCCTCCTCCTCCTCCTCCTCCTCTCCTCCTCCTCCCCTCCTCCTCCTCCTCCTCCTCCTCCTCCTCCTCTCCTCCTCCTCTCCTCCTCCTCCTCCTCCTCCTCCTCCCTCCTCCCCTCCTCCCCCTCCTCCTCCGCCCCTCCTCCTCCTCCTCCTCCTCCCTCCTCCTCCTCCTCATCCACCTCCCGTTGTTCCTCCCATTCCCACCCCCGTCATCCCCATCTCCATCCTCCACGCCGTTCTCAACCTCCTCCTTCCTATCCCTCCCTCCCATACATGTGTGTGTGTGTGCGTGCATGCGCTTGTGTGTTGGCTTCCCCCAGTCAGCCAACAACAGGCATGGCCCCCACTCCACCCTGGGCATTTCCCAACAACGGCCAAGAGGCCGCATCCCGCGCACAAGTAATCGAGCGAAGCTCGGCTGTGCAGCCGAGAGTATTTATGCAATTAGAGGCGAACTGACGGCATCTGCACAACAACACAACGATCCACGCGCTCCTCCGATGAAATTGCTGCCTCCGTGGTAGATGCTACCCGGCTGCCGGCTGTCGAAAACAATGTTTTTCAGCGTGAACCCCACACATGAACTTGTATGAAATGTGGTGCAAGCTGTGTGGTCTAACCGATGTTGTGAAAATTCTGCGGTGCTACAAATGTGGTGCAAGCTATGTGGCGCCAATAGGTTATGTTCGCACAGGCCTGCCCACTCCGCTGCTCGCGCAAACACCCCACCCACCCACCCGCAACTTGGTTTGCAAACCTCACGCGGCGGCGATTGCGATGAGTGCTTGGCACTGGCTGTTACATCTCCTCGGCCGCGCCAGCCCGCGCATGCGCGCGCGCACCGGCCAGGTAGTTTGGCGCGACCGACGAGACCGCGGTGGTGCTCACCGCTCGGCACATCCCAGCGGGCACTTGAATGCGAGTCGGCGGCTTGGGCGGGCGCGGTATCATGGTTTTCTTACAAATTCGCAACAACACGCGCGCGCTTTTGTTGAACATCCGCGTTGCGAAACCATTTGTTGTTTTGTATGCGCTTTGGCACTCAATGTCGAAATCCTTCCGGTGCCGGGAGTGTTTGGAGGATTTCGGCACGCGCGGGCGCACTTCGTTTTATTTGTTGCAAGGGGCTTTCGCGAGCACGCGCGCGCAAGGGCGTTCGAACGTTTTTTTTTTTGTTTGACATGCGCGCGCGAAGCCCGTTTGGTAGTATGTTCTTGGGTATGCTGATAACCCAATATGACTTCCTCAAGGTTTCGCAAGAGCGCGCGCACGCGCTTGTGCAACATCCGCGCTGCGACACCCAGCGTATATATATATATATATATATAAATATCTAGATTGCTATGTTGAAAAGTTGTTGCTACATATGCATATGTATACACATATATATATACATATATATATGTATATATATATATACCACGCGCGCTCTTCGCGCGCGCTTAGGTTCTAGCGCAGACGCTTCCGATTGCAACCTCTGCTTGGGACGACGAGCGCGATGGCCTCGACAACGACGACGGCGACGATGGCGATTACGACAACGGTGACGACGTCGGACGACCACGCGCTGCCTTCACTGTCCATCTTGCGCCGTTGGCTGGCGATGTGCCTTCTTATCACCGATACCAATACAAATGCTCGCTAACTCCTCGGCTCGCGTGTTCTCCATTCCGTTTACTCCTCCTCTCCCTTGTCGTCCTGATCCCGCCATCCTCTCTTCCTGCTCCTCCTGATGTTATTTTCCTTCCTCCTTCTCCTCCTCTCTCCGTCCTTCTCCTGCTCCTATCCTCTTGTTCCTCTCCCTGCTCCTCCTCCTCCTCCCGCCCCCTCTCCTCCATTTCCATTGTCTTTTCTTATCATCATCTTTCTCGCCCTCCTCGTTTTCCTCCTCCTTCTTCTCTGAGTTTCTTTCTCGCGCGGCGCGTTCTGGGGGGGGACTGCTTGGGAGTGCCAGGCACAATGGTTGGTTCGGTCATTCAATGTCCCGTTGAGCCTGACGATGAGTTCTTGTCCTCCTCCTCCCCGTGTTCCTTTTCCTCCTTGCGCTCTTCCTCCTCGTCCGCCTCCAAGTCGTCTTGCTTTCCTTCTCTTCCTCTTCCTCCTCCTCCTCCTCCTCGTTTTCCCCTCCGCCAGTTTTTCCTCGCACTGATCCTCCTCCAGCGTGTTCCAGGAGGGTCCTGATGGAATGCGCAGTGCACTATTGCTGTCTTCGCTTTGCTGTGTCTGCTCGCGGCTGACGACGAGTGTTGTCGACCGATGCTGGTATCGAGACTTCTCTCCCGGGTCGTCCGGCGACCCTTTTTTGGTTGTCTTGGGCGCGCCTTGGGCCGCCCGGGGGCTGCGTGGGGCCGCCGTGGAAAATATCGAAGTCCCTCGGAGACTTTTTGAATGTTATTCGTGGGGTATGCTGGGACATTCTCGGGGTGGAAGTCTCGGTGGTCCGGTCCGCGTTCCCTTTCGGGGGCCGTTCTTCGGGCCGTCTGGGGGCTTCTTGGGCCGTCTGTGCCGCCTCCTGGGCCTCCCTGCGCTGCGGTCGGCTGTTTCGGAGTCATCTTGGGGGCGGCTCGGGGCGTCTTGACCAGGTCTTTGTGACGCTTCAGCATTCGGCGGTCGAATCTCCAACGGCTCCGCACGCGGCGACTCTTCCCCCTTTTCCTCTCCCCCCTCCTCCTCCTCCTCCTCCTCCTCCTCCTCCTCCTCCTCCTCCTCCTCCTCCTCCTCCTCCTCCTCCTTTCCCTCCACGTGATCATTATCATCATAGCCCCCGTCCTTCTCACGTCTTCCAACTCCACATCGTCCTCATGCTGTGCTGCCTCTTCTCTGCCTCCTCCTCCTCGATCTACTCGATTCCCCCCCCCCGCCCCCTCCGTTCTCCGCAAGTTCCTCCTCGCCCAGTCCGGAAGAGTATGGCCGGAGCGCGCTCGGCAGGAGCAGCGAGGCACCCCCCCCTGGTCCTTTTCCTCAGTTTGCTGCTGCTGCTGCTGCGCCTCCTCGTCCTCCTCCTCTTGCCCCTCATTATCATGTTTCTCCTCCTCCTCCGTTTCCTCCTCCTCTCCCCACTCCCTCCATCCAACTATGCCTCCTCGCGCTTCCCTCCCCCTCCAGTTTCAGTATGTCTCGTCCTCGGCCAGCGCGTTCCGGTAGAGTCTTGCAGGAACGCGCTCCGCGGAAGCAGTGATGCTCCCCTCCTCCTCTTTCTTGTGGTCATCCTCCTCATGTTGCTGATGCTGCGGCCTCCTCCTCCTCCTCCTCCTCCTCCTCCTCCTCCTCCTCCTCCTCCTCTTCCTCCCCCTCCTCTTCCTACCCCTCTTTCTGCTCTCCCTTTGCTCTCTGGTCTCAGTTTGTCGTCTTCTCGAGTCTCAGCGCGTTCCTTCTCATCCAGAGCGGTCTGGGGGCCTGGCTGGAGCATGCTCAGCAGAAGCACTGACGTTCCCCTCCTCATCGTCGTCGTCCTCCTCCTCCTCCTCCTGCTGCTCGTGTTGCTGTTGGTGTGCCCTCGTCGTCCTCCTCGTGGCCCTCCTCCTATTCCTCCTCCTTCCTCTCCTCCTCCTCCTTCTCCTCCTCCTCCTCCTTCCTCCTCTCCTCCTCCTCCTCCTCCCCTCTCCTCCTCCTCCTCCTCCTCCTCCTCCTCCTCCTCCTCCTCCTCCTCCTCCTCCTCCTCCTCCTCCTCCTCCCTCCTCCTCCTCCTCCTCCTCCTCCTCCTCCTCTCCTCTCCTCCTCCTCCTCCTCTCCTCCTCCTCCTCCTCCCTCCTCCTCCTCTCCTCCCTCCTCCTCCTCCTCCTCCTCCTCTCCTCCTCCTTCCTCCCTCCCCCCTTGCTCCTCCTCCTCTTTTCCCTTTCCCCTCCTCCTCCTCCTTCTCCTCCTCCTCCTCCTCCACTTCCTCCTCTCCTCCTTCAGCCCTGCCTCCTGCCCCCCCTTCCCCCCTCTCTCAATGATCCCTGCTCGCGCAGAGCGTTCCAGAAGAAACTTGCCGGAACGCGCTCAGAAGGAACGCCGATGTTCTAGGGCGACGCGGCACCTCGTCCACATCCGCAGAACGTGTTTGCAGTGCGCTTGGGCCCTGTTGGGGCGTTTATTTGAAACTGTCTTGGAGCGTCTTCTGGGCCTTCTGGGGGCCTCCTGGAACCTTCTGGGTGCCTCGTGCTGGACTCTGGAGCCCTCCTGGGGACCTCTTCAAGCGAAAACCAACGGTTTTCCGTCCGTGACCTCACCCTAGGCCCCTCGTGGAGCCGTCTTGGGGCAATATTGGGCTGGCTTGGGGCCTGTCGGAGCCCTCTGGGGAGCGGTCTCGGGGCTCCTTCCGAGGGTCTCCAAGGCGTCTGGGGCCGTCTCTGCGGCCCCCTGGGCCGCCCCTGCAGCCTTTTGGGGCCACGTTTGCCCGTTCAGGGGTCGCCCAGAACCTTCGCGAGGGAGTCGTGGATTGCAATCGATTGGACTGTCATCGATTGGATTGTGAGCACTTGGATTCCATTCGACGGGGGGAGGCTGGAACGGGGCGGCGGCGATGGGCGGCGACGGGGCGGCGCGCGCGGGGCCACCGGACCGACAGGCCAGCCCAGGTCCCGACGGGCGGCGACGGGCGAGCGACGGCGAGCGCGGGGGCGCCAGACGGGCGGCGGCGACGGGCGGCGATGGGGCGGCGGAAACGGGGAGGCGACGGGGCGATGACGAGGTGGCGACGCGGCGGCGACGGCGAGCACGGAATTGCAGACCGACCGATGAGCCCAGATACCCCTGCCAAGAACGCACGGAAACGGAAGCGGCGTGGGACGTCACTCCGCTGGGCCTCCCAGGGCCCCCCGAGAGCGGCGACAAACCCCGTCGCCCTCGTCGGCCGCCCTTCTCATGTCCTCTGATCTCAGCGCAATCCTGCCCGCGCAACGCGTCCCGGAAGAGTCTTGCCAGAACGCGCTGAACAAGATCACCGAGACCCCCCTCATATGGCTTCGTCTCCTCATCTGCGCGCTGCTGCGCCCTCCTCGTTATCCCCCTCCTCTCGCCCCTCGCCTTCTTCCTGCCCCCCCCTCTTCCTCCACCCGAGAAGGCAAAGAGCATGAAGAAGATGACGTGGAGGCGCATGCGCGAGGATCAGGAGGAGGAAAATGAGAAGGAGGAGGAGGGGCGGAAGGGGAGAAAGCGAGGGGGATGAGGAGAAGGGCGGAGGGCGCAGGGGGAGGAGGGGGGGGAGGAGGAAAAAGGGGGGGAGGGGAAAGGAAAGGGAGAGGGGGATGGGGCGGGGCAGGGGGGCCGAAGGGGGGGGCGGGATGAAGGGGAGGGGCAAGAGGAGGGAAGGAGGAGGAGAAAAAAGAGGAGGCGGGGCGGGGGGGTGGGGGGGGCAGAGAGACAGGATGAGGAGGAGGCAGCCAGGGGCAGGAAGAGAAGGTTTCCAAAGGGCCTGGCCGGAGCACGCTCGGCAGGGACGCGCGGGCCCCTCACCTCCCCCCCTCCTCCTCCTCCTGCTCCTCGGCCTCCTGCTTCTCCTCCTCCCCATAATCATCTCCTCCTCCTCCACTTCCCGCTGCTTCTCCTCGTCCTCCTCCTCCGTTTTGCCGCTGCCGCTGCTGCTGCTGCCCCCCCCCCCCCCCTCCATCTCCTGCCCCTGTCCCCCTCTCTCGCCTGCCCCTCATCCTGATCCTCCTCGCCCTGATTCTCCTCATCCCCCCCCTCCTCGTCGCCCATTTCGTCGTCGTCCCCCCCCCTCCTCGCCCCCCCACTGGACCGCGGCCCCACTGCTCCTCCATTTCCGCATCTTTTTCGTTCCCCTCCTCCTCCTCCTGGCCCTCCCCTTGCTTTTCCTTCTGGCCCTCTCCTCCGTCTCCTGTTCTCCTAAAAGAAAAAACTGTTTTTCAGTGCGTCGCGGCCCTCTAGGACACGGCGCTGGCCCTGGCTCGGAAGGTCTCGAAGGCTTCTGGGGCCGCCTGGCAGCAATCGCGAGCGAAGCGCAGGAACGAGGAGGCCACGGATAGCCCCGGGACGCTGAAACCCTGCAAATGCAACGCAGAATTCACGCCCGGCCCCGCCGTGGAGGGTCGTCGCGGCGCCGGTTCCCAAGCCCGTTTCGGATGGTCTCGAAGGCTTCGGGGGCCCTGGTGGCAATCGCGAGCGGAGCGCAAGAACAAAGAGGCCACGGATGGCACTAGGACGCGACGACCCTGCAAAAACACAAAAAGAAAATGACGCCTGGCCCCGCCATGGCAGGCCATCATGGCACCGGTTCCCACGTCTGTTTCGGAAGGTCTGGAAGGCTCCTGGGGGCACGCGCTGGCAATCGTGAGCGGAGCGCAGGATCAAGGGGGCCACGGATGAGCCCAGGAACCCCAAACCGTGTAAAAACAAAAGGAAAATGAAGCCTGGACGTCCCGTGGAGGATCGAGGCAGCAGGTCGAAGGGAAGAGGGCGGCGCGGCGGCGCCCAAAGCCAAAATGATGGCTGCGCGCGCGCAGCGCCTGTGGCCCCTGATCCTGTAATCCTGGTGCGCGCCCCCCTTTTCCTCGCCGACCTCTTCTTGCGCATCGGCGCCTTCTCCTCCCCCTCCTCCCCCTGTCCCTCCTCCTCCTGCTCCTCCTCCTGCTCCTGCTCTCGCCCCGCGCAATCTCCTGTGTTCCTCCGCCTCCTGATCTGGCTCGTCCGCCTCCTTCTCCTCCACCACGTCGTGCCCCCGCTTTCTGGCCTCTTGCGCCCGCAACTTCCGCCTTATCGTCCTCTGGCTCTTGCTCCGCCTGCTTCTCTTCACTTTGCTGCTGATGGGTGTCATCCGTTCTCCGCGCGCTTCTCCTGATCACGCGCGTTCCGGAAGAGTCTTGCCGGAACGCGCTCGGTAGGAGGACCGAGGCTCCTCTCCTCCTGGTCCTTCTTCTCAACTTGATGCTGCCACTGCTGCTGCGCCTTCCGCGCCCTCCTCCTCTTGCCCCCCTCCTCCTCCTCCTCCTCCTCCTCCTCCTCCTCCTCCTCCTCCTCCTCCTCCTCCTCCTCCTCCTCCTCCCTTTCCTCCTCCTCTTCCTTCTCCTTCTCATGCGCCTCAGTCTTCCCGTCCTCCTCACGCGTTCTCGTCGTCCTCGTCCTCGACTTCCTCAGATTCCTGCTGCCGCGCCCTGCTACTACTGCCGCGTTCTCCGCGTCCTCCTCCTGAAACCCCTCTTCCGCCTCCTCCTTCTCGTCTTCCTACTCCTCGCCCTCATCCTCCTCCTGCTCCCCCTTCCTCCTGCTCCTCTTCCGCCTCCTCCTCCTCCTCCTCCTCCTCCTCCTCCTCCTCCCTTCTGCTCCTCCTCCTCCTCCTCCTCCTCCTCCTCCTCCTCCTCCTCGTCCTCTCCTCCAGTCTCAAGGTCCTCGTTAGCCAACGCGTTCCAGAAGAGTCTCGCCGGATCGCGCTCGGCAGAAACACTGGTGCTCCTCTCCTCCTCCTCCTCCTCCTCCTCCCTCCTCCTCCTCATCCTCCTCCTCCTCCTCCTCCTCCTCCTCCTCCCCATCTTCCTCCTCCTCCTCCTCCTCCTCCTCGTTTGCCGCAATCCCTGCTACCGCACCCTCCGGGCCGTCGCCTTCCGAGTGCTAGCTTTTGTGCGGAAACACCTGCTCCTGCCGCTGCTGCCCCTCCTCTGCTGCTCCTTCCTGGGAGGCTCTTCGAATGCACACTTGGGGTTTTGCTTCCGTGACTTCGCGCTGGGGTTCCTCCTGGAGCCGTTTTGGGGATCTCTCGGGCTGGCCTGGGGCCTGCTGGAGCCCACTGAGGAATGGTCATGAAGCTCTCTCTCCGAGGGTCTTCAAGATGTCTGAGCCCATGGCGGCGGGCTCCGCGGGCCCAGGACGCGGAAACCTTGTACAAACACAGAGTACATGAGGGCCGGCACCCGACCCTCCAGGCCAAGGACGTGGAAAACCATTTAAAAACACAGAGTAAATGAGGGCCGGCACCCGCTCCTTCAGCCATCTTGGGGCCCTTTTGGGCTAGCCTGGAGCCTGCTGGAGGCCTCTGGGAAATAGACCTGGGGCTATGTCCGTGGGCCTTCAAGATGTCTGGGCCCACCGCTGCGACCTCGGAGGCCCGAGGCACCGAAACCCTAAAAAAACACATGAAAAACGAAAACCTGCAGTCGTTCCTGGAGCCGTCTTGGAACCCTCTTGGGCTGGCCTGGAAACTGTTGGAGCCCTCTGCGGAATGGTCTTGGAGCTCGCGCCGAGGATCTGGAAAATGTCCGGGACCATCGCGGCAGCCTCCGAGGCCCGGGACGCCGAAACCTTTTAAAAACACATGGAAAATGAGCCCCAGTATTACTCCCATGGGGGGTCGAGGCAGCTGGTTTCGGGCCCCAGGCCTGCCCCCCGTGATATATATATATAGAGAGAGAGATATGTATGTATATATGTATATATGTATATATATATATATGTATAGATGGACACTCGATGTTGAAGTGCTTCCGAAACCGCAAGTGTTTGAAATATTTCGTCATGCGCGCGACGACGCGCGCGTGTGCACTTCGTCATTTTGTTCGCCGGGGAGTCTTAAAATTTATGATTGTTCATCAACGAGTGTGCGCACATAACTATTTTTCCAGATGATGGCGGGGGGGACCGATACCAGTTTGGTTGGGATAATATGAATTCACGGGGCAGGCTATGTGATGAAAGGTACGTGGTGCAATGTATGCGGTGCAAGCTCTGTGCTGCAAACTGTGTGGTCTAACCGATGTTGACATCTCCACGGTGCTATGACTGTGGTGTAAGCCATGTGGTGCACACAATGCTGCGGACATTATGTGGTGTAAAAAAATGTGGTGTAAATTATGCGGTGCAATATATGTGGTGCAAGCTGCGCTATGTACGCTAAGTGGTGTAATAAATGCGGTAGTGCAACTTACGCGCGAATGTCAGCACACTCGAACCAAATGTTGTGTCTGCGCCGCTCACTTGAAAACCATTTACCGGTCTCCCCTCATGTTCTGTCTCTTGATGCTCGCTTCCTCCCGCCTTCCTCTGCCCCCATCCTTCCTCCATCCGTGGCAGAGAGCCACAGCGATGTCGTCAGATTCTGGGTGCCCTGTATTTGCACTGCGGCTGGCCATTCTCGGCACAATCTGCTTCCGGGGAGGCACGAAGGATTTTCCGATCCCTGCTGCGACCGCGGCCGCGCACCGCCACCGCGCGCCTGCAAAGAGACGCGTCGACTCGAGGAGGTGCCTTTCGTGAGCGAGGCCAACGGCACCGCGGGACTACTACGGCACCGGCGGCCGCCGTCCAGGCGGACCGTGCCGTGAACTCACGCATGGATGGAATACGCCCAGGGGGCTGTACCCACGGCTTCGTGAATCGCACCCGTGCCCCCATCGCTTGCACCGCAATCGTTGCTGCTTGAACCCCGGAAGCGCTCCGCCCATCCGCGCTGTCCGCTGCCGATGACTTACAACACTCCGCACGTGTGCCAGCAACATGGATCAACGAAGCGGACGAGGAGAGGCCCCCGAGTGATGCGCCGAACGCAGTCGACACCGGTGGGCCCTGGCGGCTCTGAGGCTAGCGCGCATGGCTCGGGGTTGGCCCGAACGTGTCAGAGCGCGGGGTTGGTAAAGGAGGGCGAGCCCTCGCATAAAGAGGGGTGGACACTACGTAAGGAGTCCCGCGGCCTCCTCAGACGCCGCCTGTCTTCGAAGGCCAAAAGCCAAAAGCCTCGAAACCTATTCAAACTGCAACAAAGTCGAAGCCTCCTCAAAAGCCAACGGCCAAAGTTCTGTGGAGAGAGGAAGAAGACAAACAAAGGACAGCACAAACATTCGTGTTCGAAGGTCCGACCGCATTCCTTGGATCTGCGCTGGCGCCCCCGCTCGCGGAGCTCGCCCGGGGAAACGCCGTGGTTGTTCAGCGCCAGCTCCGCAGCTCCGCGCGGCGCTCCGACAATATATGCCGCATAGGCTGCTCTTTCTCACTCCACTCTTGGGCGCCCCGCCAGGCGCAGAGAAAGCTTCGGCGATACTCTTCGATCAAACGACGACGACTAAGCCGAAGGCAGGACGAAGATCAATTCGGGCGAGGACGTATCGGGAATCTCTGAGATCCGGTGGCTCTGGAGTTTGTCTCGGGCGCCGCGGCCCTCTCTCGGAGCGTTCCAGAACGCTCTGAGACTGTTTTGGAGCGCTCTGGAATGGATTCATCCTCGTCCGAACTAGCGCCGGCCTTTGTGGGCCCCGGAAACGGCAGGGCCGTTTTTTCACCGTTTCCGAAAACATGTCCCTTGAAAATAGAAACGGCAAAAAAACGGCGACCGGAAACGGCAAAAAAACGGCTCCAGGATTGGAACCTGAGCCGGAACCGGTCCAAAAACGGCGACGGAACCGGTACACAAACGGCGTCGGAACCGGCAAAGAAACGGCAAAACGGAACCGGTACAAAAACGGCCCTGTCGTTTCCAGGGCCCACTAAAGTCTGGAATGGATTGATCCTCGTCCGAACTAGCGCCGGCATCGCCGAGCCCGCGGCAACATGCCGCCGTCGCAGCGGCCGGCGGTGCTCAGCGCAATCAGCGCCGCCAGCCGCAGGCGTGCAGCGCCCGGCGCCTGCTGAGGCTGCCCCATCGGCGGGGGGTCGTCGCCCTGGCTGCAGGGAGCCAGCACGAGGGGGGGAGGTCCGCCCTCCTCCGCCTCCTCCTCCATCTCCTCCTTCTCGTCCTTCCTCCTGCTCTTCCTCCTCGTCCTCTGCTCCTCGTCCTCGTCCTATTGCCTCCCTCCTCCTCGCTCCCTCCCCTCCTTAACCCCTCATGCAACTGCCCCTGGTCTCCCTCGTCCTCCTGCTCTTCTTCGATACGAATCCTCCCTCATCCTCCTCGATGTAGCAGCTACAAGGATGGAGAGACCAGGCGGTTTTCAACATGTGGTTCTCGCTTGAACGCCGCACACATTCGTCCTAAAAGATCCCCACGGCTTCAAGGTCGCAGGGCGGCTCCTTCCGAAAGTGAGACTACCGCTGGAGACTTCGTCCGATACTACAGCTGTCCTGGTGAAGAGCGCCCGGTTTTCACAATTGGGCTACCGTTTGAGGGTTCGTCGTCATTTTGTGCAGCAGATTCACGCGTAGATCCGCCGCCCCTTGATCGGCGGTGGACAAACCTCCCGTTAGTAGACCTCCCCTTAGTGAAAACGGCCTGGGACCGAAACCGATGGACCTGGACCCGCAAAAATGACTGCCGCGACGCCCTCTCGCGAACCGAAAACGGCCAATT